TAAGAATGTACTCTCTGTCCTCCTTGTTTGGTTGCACAGTTTAAGGATCTCTCTGGCGTTCTTAAGGCATTCGTCTCCTTTACTGCACTGTTTAAGACCTTGATAAACGTTTGCCAAATTTTTGTAGCTTCTCGTTATAGCAGCGTGTACCTCGCTAAAGACCTTTTTCCTGATGATCAGTGCCCTTTCATGATATTCCTTGGCTTCATTGTACTGTCCAAGATCGCGATAAACACTTCCCAACTTGCTATAAATTGTTGCGACATTAGCATGTTCCTCGCCGAAAATCTTTTTCGTGATGATCAGTGCCTTGTCGTGATATCCTTTGGCTTCATTGTACTGTCCAAGATCTTGATAAACAGTTCCCAAGTTGCTATAAATTATTGCGACATTAGCATGTTCGTCGCCGAAAATCTTTTTCGTGATGATCAGTGCCTTCTCGTGATATTATTTGGCTTCATTGTACTGTCCAAGAGACTGATAAATATTACCCAACTTGTAATAACTTGATCCGACATCACCATGCACCTCCCCCAAAATCTTTTTCCTGATGATCAGTGCCTTGTCGTGATATTCTTTTGCTTCGTTGTACTGTCCAAGAGCTTGATAAAGATTTCCCAAGTTTTTAACTTGTTCCGACATCATCATGCTCCTCCCCGAAAATCTTTTTCCTGATGATCAGTGCTCTCTTGTGATATTCTTTGGCTTCCTTGTACTGTCCAAGAGCATGATAAACATTTCCCAAGTTCTCATAACTTGATCCGACATTAGCATGTTCCTCGCCAAAAATCTTTTTCCTGATGATCAGTGCCTTCTCGTAGTATTCTTTTGCTTCATTGTACTGTCTAAGAGCTTGATAAACATTTCCCAAATTGTTATAGCTTTCTGCGACATAAGCATGTTCCTCGGCGAAAATCTTTTTCCTGATGATCAGTGCCTTTTCGTGATATTCTTTTGCTTCATTGTACTGTCCAAGAGCTTGATAAACATTTCCCAAGTTGTTATGACTTGTTGCGACATGATCATGCTTCTCCCCCAAAGTCTTTATCATGATGATCAGTGCCTTCTCTTGATAATCTTTGGCTTCATTGTACTGTCCAAGAGCTTGATAAACACTTCCCAAGTTGCTATAACTCGCTGCGACTTTAGCATGTTCCTCGTCGAAAATCTCTTTCCTGATGACCAGTGCTTTCTCGTGATATTCTTTTGCTTCATTATACTGTTCAAGAGAGTGATAAACACTTCCCAAGTTGCTATAACTCCCTGCGACTTTAGCATGTTTCTCGCCGAAAATCGCTTTTCTGATGGCCAGTGCTTTCTCGTGATATTCTTTGGCTTCATTGTACTGTCCAAAAGCTCGATAAACTCTTCCCAAGTTGTTATAACTTGTTGCGACACGATCGTGCTCCCCCCCGAAAATCTTTTTCCTGATAATCAGTGCCTTCTTGAGGTATTCTTTTGCTTCATTGTACTGTCCAAGAGCTTGATAAACAGTTCCCAAGTTGTTATAACTTGTTGCGACATCATCATGCTCCTCGCCGAAAATCTTTTTCCTGGTGATCAGTGCTTTCTCGTGGTATTTTTTTGCTTCATTGTACTGTCCAAGAGCTTGATAAACACTTCCCAAGTTGTTATAACTTGTTGCGACCTGATCATGCTCCTCCAAGAAAATCTTTTTCTTGATGATCAGTGCCTTCTCGTGATATTCTTTGGCTTCATTGTACCGTCCAAGATCCTGATAAACACCTCCCAAGTTGTTATAACTTCCAGCTACCTTCGAATGATGCTCACCGTAAATTGCAATATAAATCTTGGTAGCCTCCTCATGGCACGATATTGATGATTTATACTGGCATGTCATTGATAATGTTAACCCATGTGCATTAAAGACATTTGCTTTAATTATGTCGCCCTCTCGTGTGTTACTTAGATACTGAACAAAATCATAGGCTGACGTTGAAAATAGAGTTGCACTGGATGGATTACTAAGCTTACAAAACACAGTGGCAGTTGAACAAAGCCACGAA